GGGGGCCGGGGAAGTGAGCTGGGGGCGGGGTGGGAGAGCTGCAGCGCGGGGCCCTCTTGGCGCGGGGCCCAATTCAGCCGAATCGGCTGAATCGGCCTAAAGCCGGCCCTGATTACAGACTGCAGTTTGCCCCAGAGAGCGGGGGCTAGATGATGACTGGCAGTAGCCACTGAGGCAAGGTGGGCTTAGAGGGTTGGGGGTTCCCCTGGGAGGGGAGACCCAGAGTGTGGGGTATTGCTGGGGCAGAACCCAGAGGTAAAGGGGCACCGGGGTCCGGGAGGGACATGGGGCCTGAGGCAGGTGAGTCACCAGCCAGCAGAGGGAGCTCTGGAGCTGGAGTTGAGCTAATTCTCAAGACGACCAGCAGGAGGCGCCTCACCAGTGAGTCTCGCCGTGCTACAGACTAGTCCCAGTACAGACCCTTGGGGGACACCACTATTTACCTCTCTCTATTCTGAAAACTGACCATGTTTTTGTTTCCTATCTTTTAACCAGTTACTAATCCATGAGAGGACCTTCCCTCTTATCCCATGACAGCTTACTTTGCTTAAGAGCCTTTGGTGAGGGATCTTGTCAAAGGCTTTCTGAAAATCTAAGTACACTATATCTACTGGATCCCCCTTTCCCACATGATTGTTGATCCCCTCAAAGAATTCTAGTAGGTTGGTGAGGCATGATTTCCCTTGACAAAAACCATGTTGACTTTTCCCCAACAAATTACATTCATCTATGTGTCTGACAATTTTGTTCTTTACTATAGTTTCAACCAGTTTGCCTGGTACTGAAGTCTAGGCTTACCGGCCTGTAATTGCCAGGATCGAGGCAATCCTGGATGGAGCCTTTTTTTAAAAAAGGGTGTCACATTAGCTACTCTCCAGTCATCTGGTACAGGAGCTGATTTAAGTGATAGGTTACATACCACAGTTAGTAGTTCTGCAATTTCATATCTGAGTTCCTTCAGAACTCTTGGGTGAATCCCATCTGGGCCTGGTGACTTACTACTGTTTAATTTATGAAAGGATATGAATGTATAAGCACTTTGATGGCACCTCTCCTGAGAGGATTGAAGGGTCCTAGCATGTATAGGGCCGGGGTTGTGCTGAACCGGAAGATTGCTTTTCCTTTGTTTAGGACGATGAATGTCTGAAAAACAAAGAGAGAAGGAAGATTCATTATTCCCTTCTCACAACACACACACAAGCCAATCAAACAAAAACATAAAGCTACCCCAAGCAGAGCTTTTATGTCCAAAACTAAATCAGCAGCTCCATGAATCTCACTATGGACTATGCTATTGCTAATACATTTCACTGGATGGTGCTCAGATCCTAGGCAGATAGGCAGAAGGATAAAACCTTAAGATAGAATGCTAGATGTTGGTGGATATCTGATTGATGGGCGTATAGCTTTAGCTTCAACTGATTATTAGCATGGATGCTAGTGGTGTCATCTATAGGTCATGTAAAATCAAGTTTCCACAATAGCTTCATGTTTTAGGATGTTCATAATTTCTGAGATCTCCAGAGATGAAATTTTCCATACTTGGTCTCTTTTCAAACGAGAATATTGGCTCGTGCCAATGATAATCAATGGTAATGACTATTGCTTAATCAGGGCTATATTAGCATAATTTAGCTGGTATTGAGTGGTTCAAATGTCAAACTGCTTCTACTGTGAAAAATGTCTTTATATAAAAAGTATTGAGGAGGTTTCCACATCTATTATGTCTCAGTTCAAATGTGCTGTTTACATATTAAAAGTTGTTGTTTTTTCTAGCTGCCAGCCTTGCAAACTCAACCTGGGATCTGAGAGTCAAACTGGGTTCTTCGGGGGCCACTCTAGCTTTAGGCAAACTAAGCAGTTGCCCAGGGTGGCAGATTTCTGGAAGAAATGATTTTTTGAGCGGCGTTGTGAGCAGTGTTGTGAGCAGCGTTTGAGCAGCGTGCTCCCGGCCACAACACTCGCTCAAATTTGGCCCAGATGCTCCTCTGTAATGGCGGAGGGAAGGTTTAGGGGCCAAGGGCAGCACCTGTGTCGTCCCCCCACCTTCTTCAGGTTCTCAAAAGTGGGGGGGGGGCAGTGGCCCTTGGTGCCCCCCCGTCTCCAGTGCCTACGAAGAGGGGGGTGGCACACTGAAGTTTTGCCTAGGGTGGCAGATTGTCTTGAGCGACAAAGAGTCCTGTGGCACCTTATAGACTAACAGAAGTCTTCACTACTTCTCTTAGTCTATAAGGTGCCACAGGACTCTTTGTCGCTTTTTACAGATCCAGACTAACACGACTACCCTGAGATTGTCTTGAGTGAACTCTGGGGTTCCTTCCATCTTTCTCATCACCCCCAGTAATAAAGAATGTGTGCAACAAATTCCTCCATCAGTGACATCTGTGCACCTTGTTAGCCTCCCGGGCATCTATTTCCCATGAAGGACAATATAATAGCACATCAGTTTTCCTACAACTTCAGATGCAGGTGGGTAGCGCCTTACTGTGCTGGAGGCTACTCAGTGTGTGCCAGGCAAGGAGAGCCCATGAAAATCATTCACAGAGCTGGTCAAATATCAGAAAAAACTAGTCATAGATTTTAAGGCCAGACGGGACCATTATGACCCTCTAGTCTGACCTCCTGCTGGACACAGGCCCGGAGAACCCCGCCCAGTAATTTTTTCAGCAAGCCCATAACTTCTGTCTGAGCTATTCATGGAAGTCTGGCATTTAAATAGGGAAGTTCACTCCTTTCTGTCCCCCTGCACTGCGGTCCTGAGACTGGAGAAGCTCTGTCCCCTTGCTAGGGCCCTGAGGCTACAGTGGGGAGTGAGAGCTCCTCCAGTCCCGGGGCCACAGCTGGGGTCCGGGTGCTGGGGCTTCCCCTGCCCACCCTGTGGCTTCTGCCAGGGCTCCGGGCTTCCTCCATCCCATGGCGGATTTCTGCTGGGGTGCCCATTTTTTGGGGCCCCTGAGCATGGACCCCGTGGACCCATTGGATAATCCACCACTGGACAGGAGGGCCTGTGATGCTGACAGGCCAGGTACCAGCTCTTGCCAAAGCTTTAGGCCTCAGCTGAGCACTGACAAATTCATTGCTGGAAACCAGTCTGTTTCCCCTGTGTGTTAGGGCTTGTCTACACTGGCACTTTCCAGCACTGCAACTTTCTCACTCAGGGATGTGAAAAAACAAACCAACCCTGAGAGCAGCAAGTTTCAGTGCTGGAAAGTGCCAGTGTATACAGTGCAGCAGCGCTGGCAGCTACGCCCCCATGGAGGGGGGTTCTTTTAGAGCCACAACTACACAAGCCACGTTTAATTCAAGCCTAATTTAATGTTGTCAAGTTTGCAAATTAATTCCAATTCTGCAGTTTCTTGTTGGAGTCTGTTTTTGAAGTTTTTTTGTTTGAGTATTGCAACTTTGAGTTCTGTAATCGAGTGACCAGGGAGGTTGAAGTGTTCTCCGACTGGCTTTTGAATGTTATAATTCTTGACATCTGATTTGTGTCCATTTATTCTTTTGCGTCGAGACTGTTTGGTTTGGCCAGTGTACATGGCAGAGGGGCATTGCTGGCACATGATGGCATATATCACATTGGTAGATATGCAGGTGAACGAGCCCCTGATGGTATGGCTGATGTGATTAGGTCCTATGATGGTGTCCCCTGAATAGATATGTGGACAGAGTTGGCAACAGGCTTTGTTGCAAGGATAAGTTCCTGGGTTAGTGTTTTTGTTGTGTGGTTGCTGGTGAGTATTTGCTTCAGGTTGGGGGGCTGTCTGTAAGCGAGGACTGGCCTGTCTCCCAAGATCTGTGAGAGTAAGGAATCGTCCTTCAGGATAAGTTGTAGATCTCTGATGATGCACTGGAGAGGTTTTAATTGGGGGCTGAAGGTGGCGGCTAGTGGCGTTCTGTTACTTTCTTTGTTGGGCCTGTCCTGTAGTAGGTGACTTCTGGGTACTCTTCTGGCTCTGTCAATCTGTTTCTTCACTTCAGCAGGTGGGTATTGTAGTTGTAAGAATGCTTGATAGAGATGTTATAAGCATTTGTCTCTGTCTGAGGGATTGGAGCAAATGCGGTTATATCTTAGAGCTTGGCTGTAGACAATGGATCGTGTGGTGTGGTCTGGATGAAAGCTGGAGGCATGTAGGTAAGTATAGTGGTCAGTAGGTTTCCGGTATAGGGTGGTATTTATGTGACCATCGCTTACTAGCACTGTAGTGTCCAAGAAGTGGATCTCTTGTGTGGACTGGTCCAGGCTGAGGTTGATGGTGGGATGGAAATTGTTGAAATCATGATGGAATTCCTCAAGGGCTTCTTTTCCATGGGTCCAGATGATGAAGATGTTATCAATGTAGCGAAAGTAGAGTAGGGACGTTAGGGGACGAGAGCTGAGGAAGTGTTGTTCTAAGTCAGCCATAAAAATGTTGGCATATTGAGGGGCCATGCGGGTACCCATAGCAGTGCCGCTGACTTGAAGGTATACGTTGTCCCCAAATGTGAAATAGTTGTGGGTGAGGACAAAGTCACAAAGTTCAGTCACCAGGTTTGCCGTGACTTTATCGGGGATACTGTTCCTGATGGCTTGTAGTCCATTTTTGTGTGGAATGTTGGTGTAGAGAGCTTCTACATCCATAGTGGCCAGGATGGTGTTTTCTGGAAGATCACTGATGGATTGTAGTTTCCTCAGGAAGTCAGTGGTGTATTGAAGATAGCTAGCAGTGCTGGTAGCTTAGGGCCTGAGGAGAGAGTCTACATAGCCAGACAATCCTGCTGTCAGGATGCCAATGCCTGAGATGATGGGGTGTCCCGGATTTCCAGGTTTACGGATCTTGGGTAGCAGATAGAATAGCCTTGGTTGGAGTTCTAGGGGTGTGTTTGTGGAGATTTGTTCTTGTGCTTTTTCAGGGAGTTTCGTGAGCAGATGGTGTAGTTTCTTTTGCAGCTCTGTCACCTTTTGGGACCACAGAGTGTAACTCATCAGTGTACATATGTTTGCTTGTTTTAACCATGTAATAACTCTCTCATTTCTTTTCTTAGTTAGTAAGCCCTTAAATAGCTTATGATAGGATTGGCTACAAGTGTTGTCTTTGGTATGAAATGGGAGGTACAAATTGACCTGGGGTAAGTGACTGAGTATTTTGTGAACTTTGGTGTATAGCACCAACTATCACTAAGTCCAACTTGCCTGAGTGGCAAGATAGACTGGATTGCCCAAGGGGACAGGTAAGACTGTAATAGTACTTTAGGAGGTCACACTTGTTACTGGGTTGGTGAAATCTAATTATAGAATACAAAACCAGTTTGGGGTGTCTGCCCTGCTTCTTGATAGGTTGGCACTCACAGTCGTGAGCCATTCCCAACAGCGTGACAGGGTCATAGCATGGAGGGGCTGAGTGGACCATTAAGAGTGAAGAAAATCATACAAAATGGAGAGGGCAAAAATACCTTGTGCTCAGTTGTCTTCCCACCCGTATCTTTTGTCTGTGTGGTGTGATGTTGTTACACTTGTGAGCGCCCTAGGAACAGGGGCCCTGACATACTATAGATCTGTAAAGTGCCTAGCACACTGAGAGCACTAAATTAAAACTAGGGCTGGTCAGACATTTTCCATCCAAATCGCTTTGAGATGGAAAATTGAGTCTTCAACAAAATGATTTTTTTTTCATAAAAAGTGTCCACTTCAGTGGAAAATTTTGACTTTTTTCTAAAAAACCAAACATACAGAAGCTGAAAAGTTAATGTCTGAAATGTTGCCACAATGCTTCATGGGAGTTGTAATCCAGGTGCTTCATACCCCCATTCTGCCCTATAAGCCAGGCTCCCTAGTCGGACTGTGACTCCCATGATGCACTGCAGTCACTCAGCAAGAGGGGAGTCAATCTCTGACAAAAACTACCTATAAGAACAATTCTGCCTTATTTTCAGGAGATGGTGTAAATATTGCACCATTCACTGTTAACTGCTATTTCCTGTGACAGTTTAGAGGATCCATTTGGAGATGCAGCTAAAATTGTGGTTGCTTCTTCAAAGCAGATTTGAATTCCTTTGCTGTGGAGATCCAGTCGGACATTTCAGGAGGTCTCCCATAAACTTTTCCAGGGTTTCCTGATTTTATCCTAACAAATTTATTAGAGCATAAGCTTTCGTGGACTACAGCCCACTTCTTCGGATGCTTCATATGCATCCGAAGAAGTGGGCTGTAGTCCACGAAAGCTTATGCTCTAATAAATTTGTTAATCTCTAAGGTGCCACAAGTACTCCTGTTCTTCTTTTTGCGGATACAGACTAACACGGCTGCTACTCTGAAACCTGATTTTATCCTGGGTCAGACACATAACAAATCAGCCTCACTCCTGCTGATTCTTCCCTTCTGGTCATAAAACCAAGAAATGCAAAGAAACTAGCCACACCACATGCCACACAAATCAGCTAAGAGGACATACTAAAACAAGATGCCATGGCTTAAGAGATGGCTCAGAGAACATGCTGTGATGGGTGCTGGAGAATGTGCCACAGAACATAGAGAACGTACCAAGCCATGCCAAACTAAGGGAATTCTCCACTCTCTAGAATTAATTAAAAACTCCTTGGACTCTTCAGAAGATATTCTGAATGCAAGGGACCATGTCCAGAAAGTCCAGTTCACTCGGCATCACTAAGAACACCCACAAGCAAACAGCAGAACTATCCTACAACTCTATGAGAAACTCAGAAACTACACCAGCCTTATGGATTCGATCACATGTGGAACAGGCCTTTATGCAAGATGTAGCATTGAGCAAGTGATGGACAAATGGGCAGTTTCCTTTAGGTGGGGAAAAGCTGATGATATTCGCCATGATTTTATTGTGACTCTCACAATATTTGATGTTTTACTTCAAGCCTCAGCTACTGCAGACACTCACAGGAGAATCTAGCCCTCGTGGCTGCAGAGAAAAGCTTGAAAATGTGACATAAATGCACCCCAAAATGCTCAAAAACCAGAAGGCAAAGAAGAAGACCCCAGATTTATTATATTTTTTAAAATCTCGTGATTTTTTTCAGTCCTGACTCACGTTTTTTGAAAGTCTAGCAACTTAGGACTTCAAATATTTTCAGGCTGTCTAGGGACCTGCTTGGACTTTGGCGTAAGTTAGAGCCTCAAAACATCTCTATCTCATGTTCTGGCTAAAATGGCTGAGAAAAATTGGGAGTGCGGCACACAGCACACAGCCCATGTCAGGAGTGGGACTTGGGAGGGAGTCAGGGGAACGGTTTTGGGTTTTTGTTGCATTCTGCAGTGTTTTGCTAAAGAGTCTTGATAATATAAATAGCCAAGGCCCTGCCCTGTATGTCAGAATACTCTGCAGCCAAACAAAGGAGAAAATTGATAACATTATTTATTTCCAGTTGTGCCCACGATGTGCTTTCTAATCCGAAAAGAAGGTAGATCCCTGCCTGAGTTCGCTATCTAACGACAAACAGATACAGTCATGGGAAGGAGGACGACGTTAAGATATGTCCAAGACAAGTCATGAGAAGCATTAGCTAGAGTGTTTCGGTGGTGTGAAGTGTGTGGGAATCATTTTGTGGGAGAGACGCTCAAGACAACAGTTAGTTGGCGTGTTTATTGAGTTTAGAGTTGAAGAGAATTACAGAGATGGGGCAGTAGTCGAAGAGTTCAAGCTGACAGCAGAGCAGAGACTCTTTGAGAATAGGGAATCTGGAGAATGCTTGTATTGCAAAGGAAAGGAGCCAGAGGTCACCATAAAAGATCTGGAACCAGCAGAAATAGGAGAGGAGGAGTCCAATGTCTCACCTGCTCCCTTGGGAATGATTGAGGTGTGAGATGTGTAATAATGTAAAAACACCATGATGGTGCACAGCTGACAGGGCTGTGTCAGCCAGGGGGGTACCATGTTTCTGTGAGTGCCAGGACATGGGGAAGGAGTTGAAAGTGCTGTGAAGGTGGTGGTTCTTTTCAAGATAGCATGGGCAGAGCAGGGGTAGCAGGAAAAGCAGAATGGTCCTGACTCATTAGCTTTTAAAGTCTTCGCCTGGCAATACTGGAGAATGGAGGAGTTACCCAGCCTACACCTTCTCCATGGTGGGATGGGATGTTATGTGGGGGGCAGAAGTTCCATTCTAGAGGTGCCATATGATAATCGAGAGCCGATGAAAAGCATTATGTGCTGGCTCAGATGGATGTTTATAGTTAAATTAGCTCGTTCAGTGAGCCCATCACTGTTAATGGCGTTACATGGATGGATGGTTGAGTGAGGGAGAGGTGAAGCCTTGGAGAGGCAGCCAGACTTACAAGGGCTCATCCAAACTTAGAGCGAGTTGAAAAAATGTCGACGTAACAGTTTTCCACTGAAAAATGCAGTTTTGTCAAAATTCTAATGTGTTGCGGGAATGTGTTGGTTTTAACAAAAATTTTTTGATGTGAAAAAGTCAATATTTTGTTTCAAAGGTGTCCTATTTATTTATTTCATTTAGATGATTTATACAATAGTAAAATAATTGTAATATTATATTTATATATATGTAATGTTGTGTCTATATAATCTAAATCAAAATGAAATGAAAAGTTTCAACACCATTGAAATGGAATGTTTTGGTGGTCCTGAATCAAATTGTTTTTGCAATTTTTGGTTCATGGAAAACTTTCAAGTTTTGGCTTTTTGTTCTGATCCAGAACAACATTTTTGGTAAATGTCTTGATTTCCTGCAGAAGGGAAATTCCAGTTTGTGACCAGCTCTTTCCAAAGCCTTGTCGTTACTCAGACTCTTACCCCCTCCATGGCATCAGCTCCTGCCTCCGCTCACGTTTTTGAGGAATCCCCAATCCAATGGGCAGCTTCAAAACAAACTTGTAGGAGCTCAGTGGTGAGATGCTTGATGCAGGCTCAGAACATGTGGTGGGGGAAGCTCCCAGCAGCTAGATTTGCAATGCCAGGCACTGATTCAGTGAGAGCCCCTGAAGATTATGTGGAGTGACCTAGAGCAAATCCCTATCAACTTTGCCTGCTCCAGAAGGTGGAAATGTGGCAGAAAAGGCACAAATCAGATTCTGCCATTTAGAGATGGGGCCACGGTGCAAACTTTGGATTTGAACCTGGGTTTGGATTCTGGATGTCCCAAAGCTCAGTGGTTTTGGGAGCAGGGCTGGCTCTAGGCACCAGGAAACCAAGCACGTGCTTGGGGCAGCACAATTTCAGGGGCGGCATTCCGGCCACCTTTTTTTTTGCTTTGGCAGTTGCGCTCCCAGAGGTTTTTTTTTGCTTGGGGCAGTAAAAAACCTAGAGCCGACCCTGTTTGGGAGCTGGGATTTTGGGTTATACACAGCAAAGAGCCATTGGCAGGATTTGGCTCCATTCTGGGTTTGGGGGAGAGCTGGATGATTAATGAATTTTTTGGGTCGCTGGCAATTCACAAAAGTAATTTTTTTAAAAGTTTCATTTCAGGCTGTTCCATCTTTTACAGATAAAGAGTTACCGGGGCTTGGCAGTTTGGGTAGGACCCACCTCTCTGAGAAGGTGGCTGTCTGTCCCACAGCCCTTTCTCAGCAGGGCCTGGCTCCTACTTTCCTACCTTTTTATCATTGTAGAAGGGGTCTAGGTCTTCCAAGGGCACCCCGATGAGTTCTGGAGGCAGGTCCCCGTAAATGCGTGGGAGGGGTTTCCCAGCTTCCAAATCGCTGCTGGCCTTCAGCTCTTCTTCCTCATGCACTTCCACATGCTGCCGTTTGATCTTGAGCGCTTCCGCCTCAGCAATCCGCTGCTCTATGGCAGCGAGGGACTCGCGGGTGAACGGGCGGAGATTATCAGGACCGGGTACATGTGGCGGGATTGCCATCTTCTCATTCTGCTCTCAGAAACCCTCTGCCTGGCCTCTTGGGAAGGGAAAAACCTGAAATGACAGAAAGGAACAGGTCTGTTTCACACCACATCAATTTCACATTCAGCTGAGTTTCCTCCTTCTGGGATGTGATCCACATTGTGATGTTCTTGTTTCCTTGAGGCGAGCGACTGTCGCTGAGTGCTGAATTCGAATCCTACCAGAGCGTGTAACTGACAGCAGAATCCAGCTGCTAATTCTGCACTATCATAGAGCTATGGTCAGTAACATGATGTACCATGCACTCTTACATCTGCGTAACTGGTTAGTGTATGTTCTGTGTCCCTCTCTGTGTCCAATCCACAGAGGATATGAGTCTGTTACCACTCCAATTAGTGAGCATGGCTTTTTTGCTCCACCTGTAGCACCTCAGGTTTTTCGTTCTAGAGATCCCCAGTTCAACCAGGGTCTGTCAGCCTAGCTGGCAACCATCACACATGCATTTCCTCAAGGTGTTCTAGGAGTTGATCTGCTAATGATCTCTGGCATCAGCTGGGACATTTATAAATAAATCTTTAAAACTGAGATCCATATGTTAAATAAACCACTCCCAACATCTGTCCCTGCCTCGTCCCCGCCCCTCACTCAATACACTGCCAGCTGCATGACCCGTGGACTTAGTTTTCAGTCCTTGTGGCACTGTTCAGATCCAAGTTATTGTTATTTATATATTAGGGAACTAGACCCCAATCAAGGATCAGCACCCCACGATACCAGGCGCTGCACAGACACATAACAAAGACAGACCCTGCTTCAGGCTGGATCCCGCAGGCACATAGGTGGAGACACACAGATTCATAGATCCCAAAGCCGGAAAGGAGCACTGTGATCATCTTGTCTGACCTTCCTGTATAATACAGGCCTCAGAACTTCACCAGAATAATTACCAGAGCAGATCTTTCAGAAAAACATCTAGTCTTGACTTTAAAATCCACCACACCCCTTGGAAAATTGTTCCAATGATTAATTACCCTCCCTGTTAAACATTTACACCTTATTTCCAGTCTGAATCTGTGTAGCTTCAACTTCCAGCCATTGGATTGTGTTAGACCTTCCTCTGCTACATTGAAGAGTCCCTTATTAAATATTTGTTCCCCATGTAGATATTTGCAAACTGTAATCAAGTCACCCGGTAGCCTGCTCTTGGTTAAGCTAAATAGATTGAGTTCTTCGGGTAAAGAAAAGACCTGCGGCATGGCTGCGGCTGGCCTGAGTCAGTTAGTATGCAGTGTAGGTATGTAGGCTCGGGCTGGAGCCCTGGCACTGGGCCCCTCCTCCCTTGTGGGGTCTCAAAGTTCAGGCTCTGATCCAAGCCCAAACATCTACACCACAATTAAACAGCCCCATAGCCTGAGCCCTGTGAGTCCAAGTCAGCTGACCCAGGCCAGTCGCGGGTGTTTAATTGCTGTGTAGATGTACCCCTTGAGTCTGTTACTACAAGGCAGGTTTTCTAATCCCTCAATCATTCTCGTGGCTCTTCTCTGAACCCCTTCCAATTGATCAACATCCCTCTTGAATTGTGAGTTACATCCGAAGAAGTGGGCTGTAGTCCACGAAAGCTTATGCTCTAATAAATTTGTTAGTCTCTAAGGTGCCACAAGTACTCCTGTTCTTAATGTAATCAAGATGATGAGTTAACAATGAAATGAACAGGCTTTAGCATGAGAGCAGAAGTCCCAGCTGGTCAATGAACGAACGTGGCCGGAAAGATCTTGTTTGAGATCATCAAGCTAAAGATCTATGGTGTTTGTTTTATGGCACCCTGCCCGTCCTGTGCTTTCTGCACACACAGTTAGAAATAAATGACAACAATTAGCAGCAGTATCCCCCTTTATCAAACACTTCCAAATCTCTGCATCGCTGTACGGTCCAGACCCGCCCAACTAGCCACTTCCCCACTCCTTCTGGGAGGCTGGGATCTGCAACACACAAATCGAAGGTCAACGGGTTCAGGCTCTCATGACCAATGAGAAAAGACCAGTCAAGGGGCCCACATACATCCTCCTTCCAGCCCCTTCACACTATTACCTCGTGCGTGTCTGCCACTATCACTGGGCCCCGAATCATTTATTTTGACTGCCTTCCTTCAGTCACCTGTTCTATATTATTCAATTAAAAAAGCTGAGCAGGTTCTCCTGATGTGATGTCTTCTTTACAAGCCCTCAGTGCTGCTTCCATCAGCCTCTTGGTGTTTGCAGACCCCCGCCCCACCCAGGGCCGGCTCCAGGGTTTTGGCCGCCCCAAGCAGCCAAAAAAAAAAAAAAAAAAAAAAAA